TAACCACTGTACTAAAGATAGCCGTAGATAACGCAATTCTTGAATTATGTGACTCGTGTGACTTCTTTGCTAAACCTTAACTCAAGGGAAAAAACCAATTAAATTTAATCGTGACTTTAAAGAAAGAAAGCGGTTTGTAATAGTGTTTGTATCTTCATGCCCATACATATCCCGAAGAAAGTTCCGAATTAAGACTATTACGTCATCGGAGATGTCACAACGGCTACGACTGATGGTGCGATAATAGAGTTTGTGTTGATCAAGTGCTGTGATGTTTACAGTAATCAATGAATCATCAAAGATTGCTTTGGAATATGCACTGCGTTGCGACTGTAGTACTAAGAAAACAGTTAAATTTTAAAAGCGAGGTTATAAGATCTAACAGATCTTCTTGTTTCAATTAATTCAACTTTTGCAATACTGCTGTTTTCAATTCCAGAAAATGGCAGAAAAAGAGTTATAATGTTTTGATTCCAAATTTTCAAATAGGGTTTGGGTTTATATTTGGGGGAAGATTGTAGTCTCTAAAAAGGCAGGCTCTGTAGTTTGGATGGGATAAAATTAACTTTATGGTCATTACTGAACCACGTTAGGGCTTCTTGAAAGAGATTTACACCAACAGGAAACTCCAGAAATGCATGTTCCAGGGATCAATGGAAAAAAAAACATTCCTTGTTGTCAGATCTTTCACAAACATCTTGGTATCTAATCATTAAGTTTCCAAATGATGATCCACATCAACAAACAGATGTTAAGTCTCTAAATTTATGAAACAGATTTCAAAACCTCATCTTTACAATAACATTTAGTAGAACCGTGACAAACAAAACTTAACAAGTTGGCATGTTTTTTGGAACAAAACTGAAGTTACAAATTACTTGTTAAATTAATACTTACCAACTAATTCAGCTTTCTTTCTCAGCAATTCTCTTGCAAGGCTCAAAGCATCCTGGCAAGAGTCAGACATGAATTTGGTATCACTAAATTTTGTTAGAAATGTTCAGTAATTAAACATCATATTGATCTAACAGTAAATTATATTAGTTACAAATTTTACACCAAGGAAGGCATTCCTTACCTTGTAAACCTGTGAGTCAGGTTCATTATAACGACAAGCATTGTCAAACATGAGCTGAAAGTCTGACATAAAGTCATCTAGAGTGGTATACTGATCGCCGTAAAGCTTGGAGTTGATCTTAGCCATGTCTATGGGCTTTTTTATCAGTGTATAATAATCTGGATATTCCTGATAGAAAGAAAACAAAATGTTATTGTAGACACCAACTTCTGTTCTAAAAAAGAATCCCTGCCTTTCAACTCCTTTGGTTTCAATTTTCTTCTTCTATATTTGCAGACAATGAGCAAGGACTCAGCTAAAGTGATCAACCTTGTGGTTGTTACCTTCTAGATAAAAAAATTGTTTTGTTAGAATTTGTCCATGTGTTGGAATGAATGAAACCGTAACAACAGCAACAGAAAAAACCCAAAGGGCAGAATGGGCTGGAGAGGAGTCATAAAAGACTTATGCCTCATGTAGGATAACAGTTTCAAAGAAGACGATTATTGATTTGACCTTTATGAAGATTTTAAAGTGCACCTAACCCCCAAAATTTTTTTTCGCTAGAACGAATTTACTTGTTATTTGAAATAGTTCTGCGAAAAAATTTTTGGATTCCGTTAAATCCTTGATTTTCTGTGCCACGACGAAATCTCGAAAATAGCTCCAAAACACCGCCATTTTGTTTCACGACCGAGTTTGAGGAGAATGGGTCCAGCGGCTCTTGTGACGTCTACCCAGGAAGGTTGGATATCTCATTTCCTTCAGGATGGTGCAATACACATT